CATCAGGTGATATAAAGCGATTTTGTTGGTGAATCAAAATTGTAGGCAAATTTGCCGACAATACAGTTTAAGGGATAGTCAAGAATCAATAGTGTCAGGGTTTACACGTGCTACAGCTAATTTTAACATCATCTACTTAACATTCCCACTGGATAATTGAGAGAATTATAGTCAACAAATTAACAAATAGAGACCAAGTTACTACACGTAGTAATTATAATCAAGAAATTCCACACTTTGTTTCTCATTAAACGTCATACAACATAAATACCACACAGTTGTATATAAAAATATACTGTATGACGTTAAAATTTCTTGACCATAATCCCTCGTTTCCTTAGTAAATTAGAACGAATTATTATTATTGAGCGCTAACTGGATTTAAATATTATATTCCTACTGGTTACATTTGTCTTGCATTGATACAGTCAACCTTCCATATGCACGCCAAGTCTTATTCCCAAGCTTGTGTCGAGTCAACGGCCACGGGAGAGCGGGTGACTATTAACTCGGTTAAGGATTAGCTACGAGTTGGCGGTGCGTGGCTCACCTCTCCGCAACCAGCCTTATGACTTACAGCTGATGGATGACTTTTTACAATAGGCTTTTGCCGTAGCTACCAAATGTGCGGACACTAATACTCGATGTTATTATCTTCGTGTCCAAAAGCGATTCTCTATCGCATGCCCTGCTTATTAGTCGCCAAGAGATTACGCCAAAGCATCGATAAACAAATACTAGACTTTCTTACATCAAAGTATCGGTATCGAAAATAGAGAACAAAGACAATGATAACAATAATATTATCGAGAATAATTTCAATAATTCCAATAATAAATAACGAATATAATATTTTATTACAAGAGATAAAGCCCCCGGGAATAGTTTTGCTTCCAGTTTTACCTTTCAACTTAACTTTTTCCGCCTGGAGGAAGAGTTGTTTATATAATGCATTTCATATACTCGTCTATTCGCAAACTATCACTATTTATGATCAAGTGATCAAGTTGGTGTTTGAAATCTAAGTTATACAATGAGTCATAAATAAATGCGTTTCGCCAACTTGTCACTTGATCCAAAAATGCTCCGGGTGGATAAAATAATTCCGTTTACAATTATTACTAAATCTTGCTCGAATTGATTGTAATTGGTCAGTCACATCTACTATTATATGTCATGTAAATCAGTAACGGCATTTACATATGTAAATACGGGATTTACATGGTTACGGGATTTACATACGACAAATATATTATAATATAATTCACTATCGCTATAACAGAATTCTTTATCTCTTTTAAATAATTATACAAAAAATATATTGTTAACCAAAAGACAAAAAGTTGCAGTCATAGGACCTGACGGCCAGAAACTTTGTGCGATAATTACCGTATTCTTCCGAAAATAAGCAACACTTTTTGCTATAGTATTGCTTGTTTTCGGGTAGTTTAATAAAATAAAAAAATTCCCACTGAAGTATGTGATTTCTGTCGATAATACCACTGACTATCATTGACACCATTGATGAGACGAATTAATCATTTTTTTTTATTGTAATAACAATAATATAATAAAATAACTAATTGAATACATTTATAAAGGTAAATTATTTATTCTGGAGTGTTGCTTATTTTCGGTGTTGCTTATTTTCGGAACTTATGTAAAACAGGTGTTGCTTATTTTCGGATGTTGCTTATTTTTGGGTGTTGCTTATTTTCGGAAGAATACGGTATTCCCGGTTGGAGAAACGTGGGGTTAATTCCGACATTAGAGATACTAATATTGCCGTTGCTGTAAGAACGAGGAGGAAGAGCTATGCGAGGGTGCATCGGAGCTACGCGGAATTGCCAAACTGGAGCATGCACAGAAATTGGACTTTCATGCTTTCCTCGCGCATCATGTGATGCATCGCCTTCATGTTTGTTCTACGATTCTGAAACAATATCTAAATTGAGCGCTCAGACATGTTTACTTTTTCTGCTAGGGCTTCGCGGACTTTGCTATTTGGTGAGGTATTTGTCTTGAAGGTTTCTTCCAGAATAGCGAGTTGTTCAGGAGTAGCACGAGTGCGCTTCCTGCTGTTTGTTGGTAATTGTTGAGAAGGGGAGGTGGTAGATTGAGAGGTGTTGGAGTTATTGGTGGTAGATGGAGATTTGGAAGAGTTGGGCTTGCCAATTTTGCCGACGTCTACGGCAATCTCCTTATTTACTGGCTCAGCCTTGCTGTTATCATCAGGGACTGTTACGGATGCTTCGGTGCCCTTTTGTGAATTAGTTGTGGCATCATCAAGAGTCTTTTGAGAGTGGTAATAACGGTAATACTAGTACCGTTTGGCTCCATGGCGACGACACTCTTATCAGTAGTAAGGTCAGTAGTATATTGGAAAAATTGCTCTGTTATGTCTTTGTCCATGCTAGTATTTGGACCTAGATAGACTCACTTTGTTGGTCTTTCTGATAAGGTATAGTCACTTATGATCGATACAGTCGTCGTATAGGGATTAATGAATGGATTTTATACAATCCTTTGAACCCAAGTCAAGCTCGACCAGTTTTTAGCTATTGAGGGTTAGGGAATGTTTCAAGTGAGTGTAAAATAGAGAGAGTTGGTGGGAGAAATTGGGTGGAAGAGAAATGAGAGGTCTATGAGTATATATAAATAAAATGTATATAAAATTTGTATTTATGTATAATATAATAATATTGTAGTTTGAACGTATTATTGTTTCATGTGATCGAAATTTTTCATAGTGCGTGCAGATACTGATATATAATAATAAATTAAACACGAAGATTGTTAACATGCATGTGACTGTATTTACCCACACCTGCATGCGATAGTGTGTTACACGAATAATGGTAGGACAATCAGGGATTTTACTCGATTTGGTCGTACCTTGTTCAAATCGCTCTTTACCGTGCAATATTTTGCGACCTGACCTGACTGTACTACCGCTTGTTCGTGCAGAATCATGGTAGTAATGGAGGAATACGTCACCGTTAAGCGTACTATCAGTGTGGGTAAATATAAACAGTCACATGTTAAATAGTAATAGGACTATTTTATACAGTATATTAAAGTGATAAATCCAAACACGTGGACAGCAGACAATTCTGATATGCCAGATTGACGTATTGAAGAACTGATATGCAAGTGATTACAATACACTAATAGTATAACGACATGCTGTGATTGAATAATAAAATCGTATGGTGATGTGTGGTTGAATAATAAATCGCATGATGCTTTAGTCGTCATTGTATGATGACAACCATTGTGATTTTTGCTATGTATAGGTGTTCGTATGTCTATTGTTGCAGATTGAAGAATAATCGATAGTCCCTATATGCAGTAATTCGACATTGATCGTAAATTCAACTATTCGCCGACAGACTATGTTTAACTCATAGTATATATACATTAGCAATGGTTATAAATAGCCCAGGAAAATATCATCCAGAAAGGAAAAGAAATTTTATTTCAATCACTCCATTTTTCAAACTTGCTAAAATTACCCGTTTCTTCATCTCTAGACAACCGGCAACCTTTGCCTTGACGACGACGACAATATTACGTACCACTCACCTATAATAACACTCGCTAGCGTTCAAAAACAACCATAAAAGATGTATCGGGCGTATGGGGCGATGACGTAAATAATCTCTGGTGGAGCAGACTGATACCTAACCCGACAGCTAATAAAATTACGGCAAGCGAATTGGTATTGAAAGAAGGTCTAGACGAAATAGGATGTAGAGATCGACGGTATCCTGGAGGACTCAGAATAGTGTTGCCATTTGAGAAGAAAAAACCGCCGCTTCCATCCCATTTCACGCAACTATCTCCAGAAGAATATACGATACGAAGGATACTCCATGGTGTACCCGAGGGAATAATCGACTTTCCGTCTGGCGAGGCTCTTCCGTTACAATCTAATTTCGACTACATGGACGGAATTGATTTTCGAAAAGGCTGTTACTTGGGACAAGAACTGACTTTTCGAACTTATCATACTGACGTCACGCGGAAACGCATTTTATCCGTTCAATTTTATGCATCTAATGACGCAAGGCCGGACCGATTGTCCATTGACCGCACGATTGAAAACTTGAATGTACATCCGGGCAGTGTTATTTATTCGTCAAAGGACACAAAGAGAAAAGAGTTGGGTAAAATCAGAGTTACAAGATGCAATGTTGGATTGTCATTATTCAGATTAACTGCAGATTTGATCGTCATGGGTGGTGACAATAAGAAATTAAGAAATATGACCTTAGTATCACCATTCCTTCTGGAGGTCTATGAGTATATATAATTGATAAATAATGTAAACTAGCGTTTTTAGATATAAGAGCGGGCAATACGTTGCATGGGGACGATTTGATCAGGTGATCGTCGAGTATTTAGAACTTTACTGGGCACAAAAGGCGAGAGCAAGAATTATATTCGTCAGATTGGTATCGCCACGCCTGTAAATTTGCTAAAGACTGGGTGACTTCTGACAAGAGCCCCTTGATCCTTGAAATGGTAACCTATCGGCTACGGTGGTCATTCAATGTCCGATCCAGGTACAACATATCGAACGCGCGAAGAAATCAGCCTCATGCGTAGTTCAAAGGATCCATTACTGGACTACGTCAACGAATACTAGATCATAATTTAGCTTCAGATGCAGAGCTTAAGCAGATAGAGAAGGATGCACGAAGTTACATAGAAGAAGCAAAACAGAAGGCGTTGAAAGACGATTTTCCCAGTTCATCAGAACTATTTACAGATGTCAACAGCAAAAACTGGCTTCTTCTATACCAAACGACGGCCGCGAACAGCCGCGAAATCATCATTTGTTCAAATACGATCCAAAAGTGCAAAGGCATGTGCTCTTCACCGAACGAAGGGTTGAGATGTTAAGTATTCTGAGAATCTCCCGAAGGGTTGAGAATCATAAGAAGCGATTAAAGTTAATGTTGTAATTAGAACGTTCATTATGAAAGAGAGTTAATGATGTTGTGTTAATAATATTATTTGTTTCAGAATGAGGACAAGTCTTTCCGTCGGCTTAAAGAGTAGTAATTTTACTATGTGTTCTACGTTGCGAACATTTAATACTTTCTTAATCACATGAAAATTAATATTAATATCGTATCGTATAATTATAATGGTTGGGTAAATTGTAATTAATCGTTCGCCGTTCGAACAAAGTATTATTCACTTAACACATCGATGAAGTAATCTCATTGCTATATACACTCACTGGACAAAAGTCTACGTAATTTTTGTCGATCACATAGTAAAACATATGAAAAATCTATTTTTT